TTCTTATTTTTTACAATCTCTAATTTAATTTCATGGAAAGACAGTATTCATAACCAATTACTACAATCCAACAAAACAAGCTGTTATATATATATATATATATATATATATATATAATCAGTCACCACATCACAAGTGCAGTGAGGATACAATTGACATAGAGATGAAAGATATATACAGAATATGTGGAATGTTAATTTCAGGGAAAAACAATAAGGGGAAAAACCAGGAGAAGAGACAAGCCAAAAATGAGACCAGTAATTGATGTGAAGATGAAGGGCTGTTTCAGTGATAGTGCTGAACTATGATTAGAACGAGCTCGACGATGAATTATTCCTTTTGGCACCTTCATATCATCCACTATAAATTCCTTGTTTTCTACTAATTCATACTTATTTCCATCTTTGTGCGAACTGACTCTAACAAGAGTAGTGTCCGCAACATTTTCTTGCTTTTCGACAGCTTTGCTTTTGTTTGTTGATGCATGAGAAATTTCAGAAGCAGCTGCACTTGTTAAAGCTACAGCGCATAATAAAATAACAAAACAAAGAGGGAAACTAAACTTCATCTTTCTTACTAATTGGAGCAAAATACCTGTAATAGTACTCTCAGTGATCTTTCCTTAATTTTCCTGTTTGGGCTGGCTGAGTGTATAAGAGGGTGTGTATATATATATATAGGAGATCTTCCTCAGGATTGTATATTATTCTTTTCTTTACCTTCTTTCTTAATCTCCATCCACCTTAATTTTAGAGCATAGATGCCCAACCCCACAAATGGAACCAAAACATTGCTCTCCTTAAAAGCTTATATAAACCAACAACAACATAACAAGTATAATCACACAACACAAGCAGTAGCGGATCCAGAATTTTTATCAAGGGGTGTCAAAATATAAATAATTAGATATATCGAAAAGTCAAGGGAAATCAACGTATAATAAATATACATAAAATAAAAAAAATTATCTAGCAAAATAGTGTAATTTTCCGGCGAAGGGGTGACACCACTTGCTTCAATGTGGCTCCGACACTGCACACAAGTGGGGTCAAAGAATGATAGTGTGTATGTAGACATTACCCTATAAATTGTGAAGGTAGAACGAAGTTGCTTCTGATAGACCCTCGGCTCAAAGAAAGCATAATTACAACAGTTTTGAAAAAGAAATACAGAAGTACTGGAGAAGCCTTGGAAAAAAGAAAATAGTAACCGTAACAAGATAATAAGACAACTGAAGCAAAAGAAACAACAGATAGTAAAAGAAATTTAAAAGTAAGAAAATACGAGAATACTAACTTTACTGATATGGAAAAGACATAAGCCGATGTATAGAAAAGACTTACAGTAATTACTCGTCATATTTTGAGGGAACCCATCCCTGCTCAATATAGAAAAATACTTATAATTATTTATTAAGCAACCTGATTGAAGATATCTTTTTATACCCCTAGTTTATATACGTCAAACTTAATTTAATTTCTATTGCCTAAATTTCTTCCTATTTTAGCTTGTGAGTATTGAGGATGTACCCACAATATAATTTAAGGGGGAGTTTCATGCTTACGCGATTTTGCATGCTTAACATACCAAATATTTTCTCTAGCCCTTTCTTTCTTATACTAGGACATCCTTTCCTTTTAGATCCTAATAAATCATAAGCTGTTATATTACAACTTCTTACTTCGTAGTATGAACATTTTGATTCCTATTTCCCATGTTTCACAGTATGTGTTCTTTTAGAAAAAGAATAGACACATGACATCCAAGATAAGGTCATGTCGGTGCTTAATTTGACTTGTTCTGGGGATAATGAAGGTATATTTTCTACGACGTTGTTTCAGAAACCTTGTATGAGAGCTTTTGACAAATATACTTTGGAGCTAGTGGAGAGACATAAAGGGGTAATTAAATTCCATATTTTACTGGAACCTAATTCTTTAATTGACTTGTGAACACAATTCAAGCGAATATGATGCCTTCCTTTTGTTACTGTTTAGCCATTTTCTGATACATGCACGCATGTAGGGCCTAACATCTCTGATTTTCTGATTTTGGCCTTGAAACCTTTGGGTGAAAATAGCACGGGTTACTTTTCAGACCGATAATCGAAAAATTTAGCAAGCATTTGTAAAATCATTAAAAAATAGTCTCTATTATATGTGAAGATAAATTTTGGACAAAAATACCCTAGTTGAAACATGGAAAGTTCTAGTATAATATATTGGATTATGGAGACCTGTGTATAAACTTCCAGCATATTATGTTGGAACTCCAGTGCATTATGAAATTACAACACATTAAGTTGGAATGTCGTATGTCAAAAATTTCAACTCCATCATATGATGCTAGGGTATTTTTGTTCAAATTTTATCTTTACATGAAAAATTGACTACGTACCTTTTAGTAAAAAAGAATGACCCATTGTAATTCCTCTGCTTTTCTCATTTACATGCAGAAAAGGAAGGGGAAATAGGAACAATAGAATAGAATCAGCACATATTATGTGAAAGATTCTCACCAATATCACTAGCCTATAAGCATTAGTAGTAATATATTCAAATGGTTCACTTAGCATTTGCTTATAACTCAGCTAGGAATTCTTTTCCTTTTTTGTTTGGAAGAACTATATTATTACTCTTTTCTTTTTTTATGACAGTTTTTACTATTTATGAATTTTAAATGATTTTTACTATAATTTTTCAATAATTATAAAGAGGTTAAATTGTACTTCATAGTACTTCTTATCAGTTTTTTTTTTTGAAGCATATGAATTTAGTAAAAAAAAAAATATGAAATCAATATTTGAATTTAAACTGAATAATAAATGCTTTAACTTTCACAGAGCCTAAATACAGTAGCTCTTTTGTAATCCCTGGTCCTGTTAGTTGTACTGCTCTGCCAGATTTGAGTTCAACTATGAAGATTTCAACTTTTGGTTCAGTTGTTATAAAGTAAGAGTGAATATACGAAATCTTCTGTGTCAATTTTCTGTATATATGCTTATTGCCAAAAGAAATTGAAAGTAGTAACAAAGTTTTCCTGAAAATATTTCATGGCCTGTCACTCCAGAGTTTTTAAATACTTTTACGAATTTAAGGCTCATATAAACCGATTGATCGATGTTGATCAATGAATACTAAGGATTAAGGAATGAATGAATGAATGGTTAAGCCAATTGTGTTTAACCTGAAAAACCAGAAGATTCAACCTTGCTAGTGCATTAATATGAGGGTAAAACTTCCATATGATATCTATCTTGAACCAAGCCAAGACATAAAGTAAGAATAATAAAGCTGGAATGAAGGATACTAAGGAGTATAAAAGCAGATATTATTAAGTACCTTAGTAAGAGACTTGGGAACTCCTTTCTGACAAGCATAAAAGAAAGAAAGAACAAGGGGAGGAGTGGCTGCTATCCCAAATAGGAAGCTACTTAAACTTTAGTTCAATACCTGCAACTCACTCTGGATATATACTACTATCTTCTAGTTATGTTCCTTCTTATCTAGTTATCTTCTGCACCATCATCATTGGATTCAGAATCCACTGTTCATTTTCAGGCTTGCATCTTACATCTGCCTCGGAAGCAATTTCGATTCAATGTGTTCTCCACATGAACCCTCATCTTTACTTTTAAGTTTCTGTCCAATAGGTTATAGAGCATTTAGCATCAAACATACGCGAAAATGTAACTCTGTATATGAAGCCAGAAAATGAATGAAAATGGAAATATAGAGGCTTGAAATGAGGATAAGAGAGTTTAACAGAACTTGAAATTGACAGTAAAAGATTGAGGGTCATGGTAAGATCTGTTAGTTCTTCACAATCAAATGGAGCACAATTTTTACATAAATTTCCTGCTCATTCACTTCGTTTGATCTTCTCTGATTCTAATAGAATGTTTCAGGGATATCTTCCAAAATTCTTCTGCATATTGAACTAGTCAAAATTAATATGATTCACACGGTTTTCTACCATATGCAGTTCAATTTCATTGTAGTTACTTAACTTACAAGTTAAGAGGGGGCAAAATTATCCATAGAACACTATACCTGTGCTATACAGAACATTATCAGTGGCAAACTTCATGACAGATGAAAACGATACACTGTGAATACAACATGTTCAAAGATAACATGAATGCAAATAGAGGAAACTTGAAAGTTTATCATACCTACTCAAGTAACTAAATTAAGCTAAAATGGCTTCTTGTCCCTCTCTGTATAGGCTGCATAATCATAGCGATACAGATGACTACGCAAGATTTCCTACTTTCTTGTACCTATCTTTTCTTCCTTCCCTAACAGTAATCTAAGCGTCAAAGAGAATTTTATTTCTGACCTCCTCCAATAGATAGGAAATAGATGAAGCGTGGTAAAAGAGTGAAACTATACGTGTACTCAGTCCCTGAGGAAAGGGCTAGTTAAAGAACAATCACGGTACACATATGTTGGGATCTAATTCATAAATATTCAGATAAGCACACTGCAGTAAGCATTAGGAAATCTAACCATCGGCTTCCAGTCAGAAAAAAGTTCATTAAAAGCTGGTAGAGAAATCTTTACCAATTTGCTAAGTGGTTCAGAAATTTCAAGGTAAGCGGACAGGGATGAAGAAGCTACTAGAAACACAGCGCCTTGAGACGATGGTGATCAAAATCCTAATTATCCGGCCAAATTCCTATAATAACCATGAGAAGTTAAGCGTTTAATTTAACAATTCCTATAAAAAAAAAAAGAGTAACAACACGCTTCCAGTTGTTAATCCATGTTTAGATCCAACCATATGTTCCAAACAACATAGAGAACTTAGTTCGACGAACAAGAATTGTCTAATAGATTGAAGCTGAGCTAATATATGCATATCCTTTATTTTAAAGAAATCCAGAAATGAAAGGGCAGTTAGTCTTGAAAGAAACATGGAGGAACAAACAAAAATTCAGAGTGTTCAGGAGTTGGAAACAGTACCATGAAAAGGTAGAGCTGTGGCAGACATAAGTATAAAAGAATTAAAAACTTATCATTAAATTTCAATCAATTTGAGTAGCATAAAATCTACAGAGGCTGTAGCTAGTAAGGAATAAATGAATCATATCTCCATCCTACCATCTATTGCTAGAAACCTGCAGGAATGGTAAATTTTAAAGGACATTTCGGCGAATTATTTGATGGATTGAAGGTACTTGTATTGATTTATCAATCATACAATTATAACCACTATCAATGCTGGAGCTTCTAACGCTTATCCTTTCTTCTACTTTTAATATCCGTTCCTCAGCAAAATAAGAGGCCATTTCATCCCCCATAACCTCTGAATCTTCCTCCGACCAGTAACCAAGGGAGTCCTCTTCAGATATGCAGCTCCAATCTTCTAAAGAACAAGAAAATTCATCGTCAGCCTCAGTAACCAAGAGCATAGAACCAACTTCATTTATATCTTCAACCTCACCTGATTCTTCCACTCCATCAACATCATCACTTAAACCCTCTACAAATGGATGATTTAGCAGCATTTCAGCAGTCCATCTATACCTAGGATTCCTCACAAAACAACCTTTCAGGAAACCTTTTGCTTCTTTAGACAATTCGCCTGGAATTTTAGGCAATTCATGCCCTTCCCCAATCTTTTTTAATACATCCTCAGCATCCATATCTTCCTTCTGATTCCACGGAGGTTTTCCCGTTAACATCTCAAGCACAATACAACCAAGAGCCCAAATATCCGCGGGAGACTCTTGTACATTTTCAGCTACAGCTTCAGGTGACAAGTACATAGGAGTACCCCTCCAATAAGTCTCCAATCTCCTCTTTTTACTCTGATTTTCTCTCTTTGCCAATCCCAAATCACCAATTTTCGCCCTAAATTCATTACTTCCTTTACTAGAATTCAACACAAGCAGGATATTATCAGGTTTCATATCACAATGAACATAACCAATAGCGTGAATATAATTCAATCCTTTAAGCATAGACCTAGTATAAGACCTTACCTCAAATTCAGGCAATCCTTTGTTCCCTAATTTCTTGATCCTCTCAGCTAGGGTTCCACCAGAACCATACTCAAGCAACAAGTTATAAACCATCATACCATTCTCACCAGTTGTAGTTTCATCGCCATAGCATCGAATTATGTAAGGGCAACCCTTGATGTTATTGAGAACCTCTCTTTCCTTCTGAATTGAACCTGAAATAGAAACTTCAGCGGATTTAACAGCCATAACTGATGGCAAGTAGCCATTTTTTGATCTGGTGTTCTTCAATTTAGCCAGATAAACATGCCCAAAACTTCCTTTCCCAAGCATTGCTCCTCTATACCATGAAACTCCATCTCCAAATTCGTTTATGTTACTCTTTAGCTCCATCTTCTTCCCTTGAAGTTCAACTTTTTTCTTACTTTCCATACCTTGTTGCACAAAAATTGCTTCTTCCCCCATATAATGAAACTTGAATTGCCTCAGAATTATGGGGTTTGTTTGCTTTGCAAAACAAACAAGAACATGTGAAGGAAATAAAACAAGGATATTGCAATTAGATTAGGGTTATTCTCAGTTAAAAAAAATGGTAACCAATGCTGTGTATTATACAACAAATGTGCAAAGAAAGTTAGTGCTTTAGTTTTTTAATAATAGGCTATTAGTTTTTATATGTGAAAGACTAGCGTTTCTTTGAAGGAGAGACGACGAAAGAAGCAAGTTGGAAAAATGTGGCTAACTGGAATAACGGTCATGTGTCCTCTTTTAACGTGTGATGAAATAGAGTTGTGACTTGTGAGTTTGGTTAGAAAACTCACTCTCACGTTACTAAATTATGGCACGACTTGTACAAATTCTGCTTGTTAAAGCCTTATTTTGGTTACTATTCAATTCATAGCCTCGTAGAATGATCATTTGACATTAATGTAACATACATTTTCCATAAATTTTGACACTATTATTCGTCACTCTAAATTTCTTTGTAAAAGAAGTAGAAGTAGGAGAAGAAGAAAGGATCCATGTAATGTAAGAAATGCCAAACTTTCTTCCGGAACTAAATCAAGAATTAAGATGAATTTTCGGATTTTAATTTGTGTATCTTGAAAAATAACAAGGCGTGAAGCTATCTTGGACTAGGTAAAACTACAATGAGACGATCAATAGAAATTGGAAAAAAAATTCATGACAACACGCATTATTCTGCATTGCGTTCACCTCTTCAGCATCTTATTCACCCAACATTCCTTATAAAATAATTATATCTAAAAACTTTAATTTCTTATATACAATAATCGATAAACGACAAAGGAGACAATTTTGAACATGTTTATTGTTCTAAAATAGAATACTGTGTTCTAACAAATTTTGCTATATTCTTTCCCCCTAAAAGCAAGGCAAATCATTGGGACTTGATTTTCCTATAAATGATCCATGTTGACGATAGTGAAAATGGCTTTATATTTGTGCCTCATCTTGTATTAGGTAGTAAAAACACCACAAATAGAATATTTGTATGACAACTGTTCTTATCATTTTATTTTTAAAAAGATTAAGCGTATAATCATAAGCAAATGAAATATAGTTGTCCGAAGAGGGCAAATCTAACACGTGACCTAAGAAAAGAAATAGCCAAATAGATAGGCATATGTGATATGACCATGTGAGATCCTATCACCGACCAAACAGAAATGAAAAGGGAAGTTAACAGTGTATATAGGAGAGTGGCCCAATATGGTTGGGCTTTTCTCTATTTTTAGCCCAAGAGTACTATAAGGGGATCGATCGGGGGACATTTACACTATGTAGCCGTCTCCTAACATAATAGCCGATAAATATATATTTCTAATATATTTCTGTATAATATACATAGAATATCTATATTTTATACATTGTGTATATATCTTATATATAAGGTTAGCAGTTGTAGTTACTTTGACCGACCGGCCAAATGTGTTAAAATGTCGAGACTAAATAGTCCAATAAGATCCCAAACTAGGTTCTTCTTTCTTTAATCATTCGTATTTCCCTTTAAAGGAAGGACTAGCAAAAGCAAAAGCTGGTGAATTCGCTCATTGAAGAAATATAAGCTTTCTTCGCGCTTGGTACTTTCATCTGAACTAGCTTTTCTTTCCCGAATTCTTTCCTTTCAACAATGATACTATGAACATATAAGTTATTCTATTCCAAAATTTATTAAAAACTGCACTATGAGTGTGCATGCAAGTATAGCTTATTCTTCAAATCATAAAAGAAATTAAATTTCTCCATAGGATCAGTTGGAGATCGGAAAGTAATAGGTGGAAAAACAGTTTAACATATATTACATTGGTTGAGGGAATGATGTTGTCTGCTTACATGAACTTATGAAATGTTTACCTTATGATCTTGCTTTCAGATTAATTAGGCCCAATGCTCATTTTCTTTTTAACATGGTATGAGAATTAGACCAATCTCTAATTTTGGTTTACCAAATGATGTACTCTTATATTATGATATCCATGCTATAGAGCTTTAAATCTATGCTCGCATGCATCAATTGAGAGAGCTCATATATTATCTCTTATATGATTTTAGGCAATTCTTATTTCATTGGCTAACCTTTGAAATTGAGTTAAATGTAAGCTCCAATTTTCTTAACATTTGTATTTATATTTCGTTTGGGGAGACAACGAGAAAACGATCTAACACCTAAACTTGACACAAATCGAAGATGAAGAAGCTTAATTAGGGGTTTAATACTGATAAATCCTCTCAACTACACTTCCTTCTTAAAAACTTTTCAGGAAAATTCATTATTATTGAGTATTCACATTTTGATGATTAACAAAGTTTCTTCAGATGAAATGTTCTAAGAACCAGGTCCTCAATGTAGCTGCTTAACTACTCTAAGAACTAGTTTCTTAGGATTAAGGACCAACTCCTCGGGGTTGATGATTGTACGTCTTTGCAAGACAATAACTTTATGTCAAAGTTACCCAGGTCGAGTTTATTGGAAGAAGCCTGCTAAATAAGGATTGCTTCCCAAGAAGATACGCATGTATAGGTGAGAAACAAGAGTCCAAGACTTGTGGAGTCCTTGGAACAATAGGAGTTCTCTCAAACGAGAACCTGACTATTCATAGGACTCGGAGTCTAGGGAAGTTAAATACTATCTTTCTTGACTGCTTGGATCATCCTTTTGCACATTAACTGAAGAACTACATTTTTCTACACTCAAGTCAAGTACCAGTATGATATTCTTCTTGAGTCAGTCTAGTAAATGTGTTTTAGGAAATCGAGTTGTAATGAAAGTGTCATAAACAATTAGTGAGTTGGAGTGAGTATTTTTTTTAAAAGTTAGAGTAACTTGTAAACCAAATAGCTATAGTAAGAGTACTGAAGAGTATTGAGTTGCAGATTTGTAACCGATACATTTGACTCATTATTCTAGTGAAGTTGAAGTTGAAGTTGAAAATCCTACGTAGTAGGTCATGATTTTTGCACCTTTTGAGCCGAGTGATTTTTCACGTAAAATTTATTATATTTACTTTGTTGCTTACTTTTACTTTACGCTTAAGGAGTAAGGTAAAGAACCAAATTTTTTAGTAATCCATAAAGGCACCCAAAATAAATTCCAAAGAGTCTCATCATAAGGTTGTCAAGAGGATACTCATATATCTTAAAGGGACTCCTGATCTGTGTCTATGGTATCCTAGAGGGTATAGCTTTGATCTAGTTGGTTATGCTGATGCTGACTATGCAGGTTTTCATGTTGACAGGAAAATCACTTCAGGAACAACACATTTTTTTGGTTCTTGTCTGGTGTTTTGGAGAACAAAAAATCAGAATTTAGTTCCTTTATCTACAACTAAGGCTAAATATGTGGCAGCAACATTTTGTTGTACTCAATTTATGCGGATAAAACAACAACTAAGGGACTATGGTATTTTTATTGATTGTGTTCCTATTTTTGTGATAACACTAGTGTCAACGTGCTGTTAGACATCCTTAAGATGTCAGATTGCAGCTTATGATAATGACATGTGTATGACTTGTACAATACCTATGATACATACGCTGCTTTTGGGTATAAATTTTTAGTCATTCTATAATATTTTACGCTATCAATACTTCTTAGCATTTGGTTATTTGGAACCAGTTGCTTCTAGAAAAGTTGCCATCATATACAAGCCATCTAGTTAAGAATAAAAAAAAATCAAGTATAAGAGTTTGATATAAAATAACTTGTTAATATACAATGCCCAGTTAGTGGAGTTGTGCAACATGCCAATACTCTTCTATGAAAGCAGTGGATAGCAATATACTGCTTAATTGAAACAAGAAAAGGAGCAAATTGTAACATCAAATGCATAACTGCTCCTTAGTTTTGTATTAGCTTTTGTCCATGAGCAAACATATTCTTTTCTCAATTGTAATTTTGTTTGCATCCTCTTGACTCCTTTTACTTCATGAAAAAAAGGACATGATGCTTAACTAGTGCTTGATGTTTTGATGGTCATATACATTCTATTTGTGAATGCTTCACCAATAATTGATAAGTTGCTTTACTTATACCACTTGCATCTTCTCTGAGCCTTTCTCTTATTTTCTCTATGTTGACCAATATTTTGTTGTATCGGTTGTTGGATAAAAATGATCTGTACTTTGAAGTCCTACCTTCTTTATTTCTTAGTTCTCTTAGTTTATGATAGTTGGTAGTTATTATTGTAAGAAGTTATGCTTATCATAATGTAATTCATATGCTTTTAAAAGAATCAGTTGACTCACATTTTAGTCTATTAACATAATCTAGAAGTAGAAAGATCCATTGATGGTAGATTATAGTTTTGTAAGATTTATTCCAAGATATCTACCATCTTACAACACTCAAGGATGCTTCAATTGCTGAATGTAAAGGAAACAACAATGAGCATTTGACCTTCAGGAAGAACGTGCAGGATCGAGAGGTAGAAATAGTTGCTCTTTTCCTTAATAGATTGAAGGGTACTCAAACTTATTAAAATTGTTTGTCTTTTCTGTCTGATTAGTAATCTGTTGAAAAATTAGGCCCCGCAAATAAAATATAAAGTAGATAAGATATGAAATATGAAGAAAATGAAAAATAGCATGTTGATGACAATATATTTAGAAGCCATTCTAATTAGTTAAACTTGCAAGTTTATTCTTATTTGTTCTTAATATCACATGTAGAGAGAAGTGTTATATTCCACAAAGACTTGTCATACTTTTTAATAATATAAGTCTCTTTCAGTATTTGTTGGAAAGCTTCTGCTTATTGACTCGCATATATACGCATAGAAATAATCTTAGTGATGGTGCTTGCAGGTTGCTGCTGGATTGTTTTCTATGTGCGTGAGATGAGTAAAGTAAAAAGTGGCAATGAGTGAAAGAGGAAAAGAAAACTGGTAGTTAAACAAGTCAGTATGATCTACAATCTATCAAAGCACCTAAATATTTTTATCTGGATCTGCACCTTATCTCATATAAGGCAACAATAGTACGTTAGTTTATTTGATAACTTGTTTACTCATACTTCTTAATTCTATTCTGATAAATGAAATGGTAGAATTAATTTATAAGTATTTCTCTAGTAGCCATATTTCTATTTATTTTAAAAGTTTATTTGCCAAGTACTTCAACGACTTTTATCCGCTAAGAGTGCTGATCTTTTTAAGATTTTTGAGAAAATTAGATTTTCCCCTTTCAAT